ATTTGATGTATAATTATGCAATGTTTCGTTCATTTTCACCGACTTCGGTTTCACCCTCACCAAAAACTTGAGGTGTCTAGAAAACCACTTTCCACACTTTTTTCAAAAAAGTGTAAGCGAGACTTTTAGATTATTTTTGATAGTCTACACGATGGGCAAAGTGAAATTTTCATGGCAAGATGCTCTGTATAAAATGGGCGGACCTGTGTGGAAGCACCCAACAAACCTCTACTCGGTCCTTCGAACTGAGTCCCCGAAGCCACTTGAGCGAAACTCACCAATCGCCGAATAGGACTATGATAGCACACCTGGCATACTCCAACAGTATAGTGGAGGCTGCAGAATGACCTCGTGTCCATGGAGAAAATCCTTTCTCAAAATCGCCCGAAATGGTCATTTCTGAGCAAAATTGCAAATTTCAAACCGCCTGTATTGAAAACAAAAGCACTGGAGACCATCAGACTTTTATCAGATATGCTTTGGCACATAATCTATTTGGAAATGTAGCTGAAAGTCGCACGGTAGACTTCGTTTCAAATGGATGCTACAGGAAATTCAAGGTTTTCTTGATTTGGATCCTAGGTGTGCCATCTATTACAAAAGAACGAAAGCATGCTTCGAGCTCGTGGTTGTGTGGTTGTATGATAGACACTATCTACTGTCAATGGTAAAATCTCCAAGGCTAAGTACTGTGTCGTTAATGAGTTACAAAAGGTTTAAAGTTGGCAAATTTTCAAAATTGCTGAATCCACCTTTTCGGGACTTTCGATAAAGTTTCAATATCTTAGCAACGATAAAACTCTTTAACTTGCGCCTTTTGCTAAAATTCATCAGAATGTTTGCTCTAAAAGAGTCCTCCAGTCTGAAAGAGTTTTGAGAAAATCAATTCAAGACTACCCCGCTGTAATGTACTAGGTCGTGGCTTACGTGCAATGGATCTTAAGAGTACCTCCCCCCTCTTTTTTGCAGAAAAGTTTTAATTTGAGCTAAACGTAGTCTAATGTAGAGGAAAGCCTGGGCTATAAAATGAGAGCACTTCCAGCTCTCCATGACCTCCCTTGTAAAAATTATGAAGTTTTTAATTTTTTTATTCAAAACCTAGAAAATCTCAATTTTTTAGGTTCGTAAACTTTTTCTCCTTTCTTATGTATTCAAGATTTTTTCTTATACATAATGTGATAAAAGAAAGTGTGCTCTTCAAAATGAGATGTTTTCTAGAATTTTCCGATGAATTTTCATAGAGATATAAGCATCATTGCAAATGCCCTGAAATGCAGAGCCCTGTTTACAATATGTGTTTTTCTCACTATGCGTTTTTTCGATAGTCCCTTTAATCGGGCCACGTGACCCCTGGAAAAAATGATCCAATTGAACTGAAAATTTGGTCACAGATACTTCAGACCCTATATCAGGTTCGTTTTTTTAAAGCGTTTTCGAGTTCAACTTTCGGCGTGAGAAGGTTTTAGGAGATAGGGTCTGAAGTATCTGTGGTAAAGTTTTGAGCTCGATTGGACTATTTTTTCGGGGGGATCGTAATGTGGCCTGGTAAAAACTGGAGTTTTTCAGAAAATCCATAGAAGAACATGTCAGAAAATTCTGGGCAAAAATACATCGATTTTCTATTTTACTGTTTTATCTGTGGTATAAATTTCTACCCGATACGACATTCCCGGTTTCCAAGAAAGTCAAAAAAGAGGGGGGGAGGGTGTACCCTTAAGCTAATCTCACTGGGTATCGCCTAAGACTGTCGGACGAGGCATAGTGTTATCATTATGAGTAAAGAACGTTATATTACACTTCAAAATATCAATATCTCGTAGCTGCATCTTCGACCACTAAAATATACATCGTAAATGCGAGTTCATTCTCAAACTTTATGACTCATATCATTTGCAATGGCATGTAAGCAGATATCATCAGCAAATAATTAGCATAAACATTGAAAGGAGTTGGGAAGATCATCAATAAATAAAGAGAGTAATATAGAACGTAATATCAGTTTCAAAATAGTGCAGTTTATATCTATTCTTAGGAAGAATATCACCCGGAGAAAGGAGTCATCCAGTTGGGATGTTGAGTTCGAGAGAGATTAGCAAAAGAGGAAGTTTAAAAGGTATTTTTGAATGATAAAGGTGCAGATCGAAGGATTACAAAAAAATAAAAGCACATGGGTGTTAATGGACGTCATTAAAGTATTACTCTTAACGTGGTGATGAAGAACCAAATTTTAATAATGCTATATGGTGGTATTCATGTGACAAAGCGTCAATTTACTATCAAATAAACAGCATATTACGACTTGAGAATTTTGAATTACTCATGTCATATCGGTACTATTTGAGCGATTTATGTAGAATGATCGAGGTGATATTTAATAATACAAAGAAAACAAACCAAAAAGGCACTACACTGTATCGTGCCGATAAAATAAATAAATTAAGTTTCGAAAAAATGAAACAGAAACAAAAAGGCCAATTGATCACCATGAACGGTTTTGTATCTACAACGACAGACATCGGTATCGCCGAAGGTTATGCAAGAAATCAGTTTGTGCCACCAGGTGCCGTTTCAGTGTTATTCGAAATCAAATATAATCCGAAAAAACAATGTACAGCATTTGCTGATATCGAAGACATATCTTTCCATCCAGAGGAGAAGGAAGCACTGTTCAGTATGGGCTCAGCATTTGCCATCGATAGAATCGATGCACCATTGACAAGTGAAAGTTTTTATCGAGTTAAGCTGACAGCAAGCGATCTTGATAAAACAATTGTCGACGATATGAAATCGAAGGTTGAACAGTCAAGTGCGTCTGGTCTATCAATGTTACTCTCTCGCTATCTGATTGAACTGGGTGAATATCGTGCAGTTAAAAAGTATTTGACCTCTCTATTAAACTGTGATATACTAATGGATGACCCATCAATTGCATCTGCCTTCAATTGTATGGGCATGATTTATTCTCGACAGGGATTGTACGCTGACGCTCTCGAATATTTTAAACAAGCGTTAAATCATCAAACACGACTCGAATATTCGAATAATAATGCCCTCGCCGAAATTCACAGTAATATTGGCGAAGCTTACGTGAATCTGGCGTACTTTGATGAAGCACTTCAAGTGTTCAAAAAAGCGGAACGGACCCAAATGCGCGAGCCACTGACAACTCGACAACATTTAGCATCAATTCATTCTAATATTGGCTATGCTTATTACAAGAAAAAAGACTATGATAATGCAGAAAAATTTTTCAAAATGGCTAATGATCTGTATTCAAGTAAAACATCTCGCAAATTAGCATATGATGCACTCGAGCAACGTTTGATGGAAGCTGATCTGAATTTAAAATATGGAAATTTGTTGAGCATTAAACGACAGTTTGAAAAAGCAGACGAACAGTATGATAAGGCAATCAAAACGTATCAAACACTATTGACCGAGACTGATCCAAAACTAATGAAAGCACATACAGACTGCATCGCCGAGTATGCAAGAACACAGGCATACAACAAGGTAATCGAAAAATATGAGAATGGGCTTAGCGATCTACTTCAGAAATACGAATCGAAAGCGTTTGAAGTAACCACAACAACAGATTTAAAAAATTTGACCACTCTCTATTATCTAATTGGTGCTTGTTACGCTAGTATGGAAAAATATGACAAGGCTATTCAATCATGGAAAAGGGGTTACATTTGTAAACGAAAAAATCATATCGATCAACTTCTGCGAGCAACGTCCGATGACGACGTTAATGATGAAGACTTGGGCGATCTAATATATTTTATACACAAATCATTCCGCAAAGTATCCGAGAAAAAGATAAAAGACAATGGACTGGTGTATTTTCTCTTAGAACAATACGAGAAGGCCAAAACTCAACTCGAACAAACCGAAAACAGTGACATGATTGATCTAGTTCTATTAGCTGACCTTTATACACAGTTAAATTTACATAATTTAGCTATTGAGACTTATGAAAAGGCTCTTTCAATGAAGAATGTAGCTAAAAATGATCCAATTGTTACAGAAATATATTTATCAATAGCGCAATTAGAAACGAGCCCCGAAAAACTGCAAGAACACGAAAAACATTTTACAATAAAAGAATCAGGCAATAGAACAGTTAGTATGAGAGTTGTTATCAACGATCAATTGGCTAAATGCTATCTAGAAAAAGCGAATAGAGATGTTACTCAGCAGGTTTTATATGCGCAAGCACGTTCAATTGCTGAACTTTCTATCGCTTTAAAATCTCAATATTTCTCTCAATATCATCCTAGTATAGCAACCAATTACCGCTTAATCGCTGAGACATATTTTGAAGAAAATAATTACAGACAAGCCATTGAAATGTATCAAAAAGCGCTTGAAATTCAACAGTTAAATTTACCAATGGATCATCGAGATATAAAACAAAGTTATTTCAAAATAGGCAATACATTTTGTAAGATGTACAAACTAAATGATGCTGTTGAGAAATATCAATTTGCCATCGAAGGTGATGTATCTTCATTGTTAAAAGCAATAACGTTTAGTACAAAAGCCGAGCTTCTTGCTGAACAAAAAGACTATTTGTCAGCTCTTGATGAAGAAGTGAAATCGCAGACATTTTTAGAAGAACAGTTACCGAAAGATTTGATCGACATTGTCGAAGCAACATTTATGGATAGATCGTTGGATGACCTGAAAAATTTGATAAACGACAGAGTGCAGCTATCTGATATCCGTTCATTTGCAACATTTCTTGCCGATTTATCATACATTTATCTTAAACTAGGCTACATAAAATTCAAACAAGCGTCAAAACAAGCGTCAGATGAATGTATAGCGGTGTATCAAGAAGCGCTCAATTTACAATTGAAAATAATATTATTTCAAAATTCAGATGAAGATGTGACGACAAAAATCTATCAAACACTCGGGTTTGTTAATGCTACAAATGATATCGACGACGAAGCACTACGCAACTACTCCCAAGCTATGGATAATGAAAGCAATTATGTGATCCATTGGAAATTAGTTAATCTCTACGAAGGAGAGGAAAGATATTCAATGGCACTTAGTCACTGTAAGTATCTTCTCAGATATACTGAAACGATACAAGATACAGAAAATGTTATAAAGAATAAAATCGAATTTTTGACAAATGAAGTGGACGAAGAGGCCTCTAAAGAAGATGAGGACGAAGATAGTGAATCATCTTCAGATGAGGAAAGTAGTGTTGAGAGCACAGACTCACTACCAAACGACACAAATCTTACGAATTCTAACAATCGACTTTTATCACCAAATTCATCAATTGCCAATACCTATTATCTTTTGCAAGACTATACAAGAGCACTCAACTACTATCAGAAAGATATTAAACATCGAATCAAAAAGCTCTCTCGAAAACCGCTGTTAATCAAATGTAAAGTTAAGTCAGATAATATGTGGTTCTTTTTAATTGAATTATTTACAAAACTGATTTCACAAGTTAAGCAATCACAGCGAATTGATTCGTATGAAAGCATGACTTATGAATTTCTAGGTGATTTATATATTAAATGTGCTGAAATCGCTGTCAAAACAACCAAATATTCTGATGCTGTTTATAGTTATGCAAATGCTTTACAACTGTATACTAACTATTGCTTTCATCACAACACAAAACCTGTTTCAATCTTTGATACATTATCTCGTAAAGGAGCTCTATCCGTCACCGATATAGCAGACTTTTATGAGAGTATCCCCGGCGTCAATCGAGAATATAAAACATGGATTAAACTGAAAATGATCTTGTTAGAGCATGAACGAGCCAAGGCTAATGACGAATTTGAACGAATAATCCAAATGTGTTTCACTTGTAAACAAGATCTGAATTTATCAGATCATTCAGATCTGATGATCGATGCTGCGCTTAATTATGTTATACTTAAAATTTGTAAGGAAACATATGGTTATGCTGATGCCATGGAGATTATTGAAAAACTTAAAATAGATGAAAAAAATCTTCCTATATATGATGTTATCATACTTTATCGGTTGATGGTCAATTTTATTGCTGAGTTTATCGACAAAGATTTTGGTATTATCAATGAGGAAAAAGCGGAAGAAGAACCAGAGCAAGATAAAAATGATAATGATAGCGATGAAAAAAATCTCAAAACAATGGAGAAATACAAACAATTGCTGTTTCAACAAATATCAAAAGCGGTCACGCCGGTTATTGATAAAGACAGCATGTTGTTTCAAACATTCTTGGTAGGTGATAACACTGATGATAAAAGAGTATTTTCGTGTATTGGTGATATTTTAACATATATTGGTGCTCATGATTTAGCTGCTGCCTATTGGGAAGATATCCGATCTGAGAAAGAACAGATGCTATCCAAGACTATTTTGGACATGATCCTTTCAAAACAATCAAATGTGTCACTGATTTATAAGGAAATGAAATGTATGGAAACAGATTTGGCCAAATGTCTAACATCGATTGCGCAAAGCTACGATAAATCTGGTGGATTCTTTGAGAAGTATGGCGATGAGGTGTGTCGAATCAAGAGCGGAGAAAACGCTGAGTTTGAAGCTTTAGGATATTATGCATATGCTAAACGTATGTTTGATATAGCAGACTCTCTCTATAAAAAAGTGGGAATAAACGTTACTGAATCTCGCCACAAATCAATAGAGAAAAAAATGAGCAAACAAGTCGAACTGATAGAAAAAGCTGAAGATAATTCAGAGCAACATGAATTTTTTTAAACTTTCAAGAAATCTTATTAGTTAATATAGATACGACATTTATGAAATTATAGGTTTTTGTTGAATTTTTAACAGAAATAAATATACGAATATTCTATGCAAATTACTATGCACGTAACCAATGTCAAATTGCAATCCTTTTAAGATTCTTTTTTGAAATTGGTAAGTAAACTAGCGGTTGACCAGTAGGGAGACATTTCTCTCTCTCAAGAAGCTGTGATCATATATAGCGCCATTAGTCTATTTTCTTCTCCAGTTTTCAAAGTAGTTCAAATGTTACACCTATACACCTAAAGATATTTTATTATTTAGTTACCAATCAAACGCGTTATTCTGCTCATTTTATATAACAGAGTCGACACTATCGAAAACATCAAC